TTCGAGAAACACCCTGGGATTTTTAATGACCACAGAGAGTCAGGACCTCGGTTTAACATCTCATCCAAAAGACAGCACTTGTTTACAGTATAGTGTCTCCGTCACTATACTGGGGCATTAGGACCCACATGGACCGCAGGGTGAGCGCCCCCTGCTGGCCCCACTAACACCTCTTCCATAAAGTCATGAAGTTTCAACCATGATAAAGCAAGCAACCACACCCCTCCTACCAATAATTCACACAGGTACTACTGTGATAAATGTCACAGGGAGGGCAGGAGTGGTGCCCAAGCAAGTTCTTTCAAAATAGAATGATGGCTCAGCTTTGGGCACAAATGTGGGGGATTTATTTGGACAGTGCTTCCCACAAAACAATAAGAGAGAGTGCAACAAAATAACAAATTAAAAAATATATACAAACCCTTCCTCCAAGAGTCATAAGCCTAGCAACCCTACCACACTCGGATCCTGTTTGCTAACTCTCCTTTGGACTACCAAAGGAGCCTCGTAAATAGGTACAGTATAGCCCTGCCCCCTTGGACCCTACCATTATCACATTAAAATTATTGACAATTACTGAATTTCTCACAATAATCTTCTTATTTTCCACAATCCATAACCATCCATTCATTTTTGCAACAATAGAATATACAGAATGTACAATTAAAACAAAGAATCATGAACGAAACATTTTAGCCTTTTTATCGTTATCTGTAAAAATGGTACATCCTATACCGGAAGATGTGCGCATGTACCACTCAGCGTTGACACTACAAAGCCAAGCTGAGAAGAGGTTTCAGGTTTGGACCTATGAGGCCACCATACCCGGAAGTCAGGCCGCCCAGGATGCGCAGTGACTTCAACACGGAAAAAAGACAGAGCGCTCGCTCACATAGGTACGTACTGTACAAATAAACAGAAAAGATACCGTTATCCTTGAGAGTTTGTGACTGATTTTCCACGAATAACATGAACTTATTTCGAAGTAAAATGTAGTTATGAAATGGGAAACTGCTAGCCGAGCCCCGAGTGTGCACCCTCGGGAGCTAGCTAGCGGACAAGAAAATGGATGTAGTGTATTAACGCGAGTAATTCAGATTTAGGTGGGATAACGTGTGTGGTGAACTGTACTGTCTGCGGACGGTGACGGAGATCTCTGTCGCATAACTTTTTTTCTGTTAAAGAGAAAAACTACATCTAATAAACAGATCTAACTTAAATCATTTAAGATCTTTTTTAATATTAAAATTCTGTTTTTTGGAAATACCGAGATGTGCGTGCTTTACTTTTTTCACATTTTTTTATTACTTCAAACATGAGAACAATGTCTCATTTGTGTGTGCATAGGAATAGTGTAAACTATTTCTTTTCTGAGGTGAAGAGGACATACAGTTGAATTGGCCCCCTGTTACCATGTTTTCTACCCATTCAGCTGAGAGTAATAGAGTGGAATAAGGCTATACTAACAGGTTTTGTGTGTAATTACTCATGTTTCTAGGTGAACATTTTTCACAGAAGCAGTCTCATACTCCATTTCGTAAGAATGCAGAATATAAGGGAAAAAACTGTTGATCCAGAAAAAAAGAAAGATTGATGGAAAAATTAGACCTTAATATAAAGGCAATAAAGTGCAAAGCCAGCTGGGTAGTGTACCTATTTATTGATCACTGGGCCTCTTTCTGCACTTGTCTCATAAATAAAAGAAGTCAACTTGAAGGAACCTCCAAATTAAACATAAAAGACCGTGGTATAACAACAGCAATACGGTGAATATAGCTGGAAATTGATCAGCTCTGTGACAGGGTATTGAAATGTCGAAACTGGATGCAAATACTAGTAGCGAGACCCACAGCTTTTAGGTCTGAAGTATGAGTGTATCACCACTTTCATCTTATTCTGCGTCTCTTGAATTGCTCTTTTTCCCTCAGAAGTTTTGGATGTGTGCGCTTCAGATGAGAATCGGGAGTGACAAGAACACTTTAGTTTGAAAATTTGAAAAATTCCCCTGTGAGGCATCACACATCTTAAGTGCTAAAAGGTTTTAGACTTGCCTTTACAATGTTATGTTAGGCTTCATTAATTTGTTTTTCCCAAGTCTTGTCTCATGAACATATTGTTCTTGCATGAATATGCTTTGTGAAGGTGGTTTGAGCAAAACTCTGTGCATAGGATATTTCATAAACATTTAGTACAAATCGGGGTAAGTGTTCAGGTAGACCTAAAAGAGTTCTTTCACCTTTAGCTTTTTGATAATCGCCTAATGTAGAAAAATACAGAATTAGTATTTCTGTTGTAAGACAGTTGATGTGGATGAGGGAATACATGTTTAGTTCATTGAACATGTACAATTTTAGGGTAATTTTCAATTTTTTATTTTTTCTGTCAGTCTTTTGGATTAGAAAACAGGATTATGTTTGGGTTTCTGATTTACTCCATTTTTTATTTAATTTGGATAAATCATTTGTTTTTATAATGTAGTATAAATAGATTTGAAGAGTGAAGAGCATCTCAGTAAGGTTGTCATCACAATTTTAGTTTTTACAACAACATAAAACTTTAGTTGTTTATGAAGTATCTGTTCGTACATGTTTATATCCACATAGCCCAAGAGCACAGCACGCTGGGAACATTCATGATATAATTTCCACGGTAATGTCTTTGCAGTTTGACTCATACAATACAATGTGAAAGATTTGTTGTTGGTTCATCATAATTTTTGAAATCCCTATTATCAGCTGTATAGGAGTAGATGGAACAAATAAATGGCATTAGTAGTGTATCAGCTACCTTCATAACATCTACTGTTGAAACACTTTATCTTGAATTCAATAAAATGAATTGTTCATACACAATGGTCTAACTCTGCTACAGTGCCAAGACAAGGGACACACTTCAAAAAGGAGGGCTATGGCAATCAATCCATATGTTCAAGAAATATAGAATTAGTGCTTAACGACAAATAAAACCCAGAAGTGATAGGCACCACAACATTGTTGATGGAAAGTACAATATAGGTGCCATAGCATAAAGCTATCTAAAATCAAATACAGTATACATTGGCTAAGAACTTGAAACCCTCTTGAAGGCTCTGGACAGCATAAAGGAAATGATGCTGAAAATAGCTTGAATGTCAGAAATTATTCCTTCTTTTCAGCTTAATTCATGAGATAGGGCTATAGGTGAAAGAAATACAGCCATCAGCCCATCACAAGAATTTCAAAGTGTTTGCTAATTTTTCTAATTCTTTTGCTAAGAATCAGCTTTAGAATGCTAGAATCTCACAATATACTGTAAGTACTGTTAAAATCCAGCTATGTTTTCTTTATAGTTCTTGAGGTTTGTTGTTCACAGCTTAGCTTAGATTAAGGGAAAAGACCTAGTTCAGTACAATAAGCCAAATTATATCACAAATAGTAATTTCCTGTATTAACATAGTATTGGAACCTGCCTGTAATTTCAGATTCTATTCATTACATACCCTCCAATTTAGGAATCACAAATTCACTTCATGTCTCAGCACACAGCTATGGGTACATCTCCTGTACCCACATAAG